AGAGGAGAGCAACAAGGATGATGGGGGGACTGGAGCATCTCCCCTATAAGGAAAGGCTGAGGGAGCTGGGCTTGTTCAGCCTGGAGAAGAGAAGGCTGAGAGGGGATCTCATCAACACCTACAAATATCTCAAGGGTGGGGGTCATGAGGACAGGGCCAGACTCTTCCCAGTGGTGCCCAGTGCCAGGACAAGGGGCCATGGGCACAAACTGAAGCAGAAGAGGTTCCAGTTGAACGGGAGGAAGAACTTGTTGACTGTGATGGTGCCCGAGCCCTGGCCCAGGCTGCCCAGGGGGGCTGTGGAGTCTCCTTCTCTGGAGATCTTCAACCCCCGCCTGGACGCTGTCCTGTGCCCCCTGCTCTGGGTGAGCCTGCCTGAGCAGGGGGGTGGCACTGGGTGAGCTCCCGAGGGCCCTTCCAATCCCTGCCATTCTGGGATTTTCCAGGCATTCCACATCTTGAAGGATACTGCCCAAAATCAGGGATGATCCTCCAGCTTGGTCAGCAGAACAAACGTAAGGATTTCCGCATGTCTTACCAATAATCCTACCCATCTCCAACCTCCTCTCTCCTGCCTGGAATAGCAAATGACCTGGGCTTGGGGCAGATAAAATCCAAAAGTAGAAAGCTCCTCAAGTCCACCTATCACCCTTCTACCATGGCTGGGGCAGCTGTGGGGATCTGAAGCCTGTAGCTGAGCTCCTCAGATGGATCTGATGTCCTCAGGTCTGCGTCCCTACAGCAGTGAATCAAGGTGGCTGCAGCACTGGGTGTCCTTGAGCTGTGATTGATGTCATCTGTGGTTCTCTTCCAGCTGTATGTCACCTGCTGGGTCCAAAAGCTGTCCCCAGCCACTCTCCGAGACCTTCTCAGAGAGTTTGTCCCCTTTTCCAGCAGATGTCTGCTGAGCCATGGCTTTTGGGGGATCCTTGTAAAACAGAGAGCTCCAGATGTTCTTCCAGAGTCTCCCTCATGTCCATTACTGCTGCCCAGCGACCTTGCACAGGTCTGTCTCCCTCTGTTGAGGGACATTGGCACAGGGGTACGTCGTTCTTCATGAAGTTTTATCTCCAGGTTTTCCCTGCCTGGCCTTCCCAAACCAGCAAGACCTTTGACAATCAGTTTTCCAGATGCGTGAATTATCATAGAATCACAGAATCATAGAATGTTTTGGGTTGGAAGGGACCCCTAGAGGTCACCCAGCCCAAACCCCCTGCAGGGAGCAGGGACACCTGTAACCAGATCAGGTTGCTCAGAGCCCCATCCAACCTGGCCTGGAATTATGCCATTAAGTCTCTGTAATTTGGTTTATAAGTAACGACCCTGCCCTGCCCTCCCTGTTGTAGCACTCTTCCCTTTCAGATCAATGGATTGGCCTTCATCTCCGCGCAGGATGAACTTGGTGCTTAACCATTGCAGACCACGCACGCTTCCCGCTATTGCCGGGCATCGCCAGAGCCGCCTCATCCACAACGCGGTGTCCTGCGGCGCCGGGTGCTGATGGACGAGCAGCGGAGTCTCGTGTGTCTCCAGAAGGAATTGCGGGAACATCACGAACTCATCAGCCGCTCCAGCCAGGCCCTTGAACACTGAAACCCAGAAAAATACCCCGTCGTTCAAGCCGCAAACTGAACAAGTCCCGCACAGCCATTATACTTTGGGGAATAATCCTGACTTGGCTTCGGAGCAGGATGGATTATGCGCTTGATTTTTCTTCTTCTTCTTTTTTTTTCCCAATCCTCTATTCAATTCAATACATTCCAATAGTTCTAGCGCCTGGGTGCTGCCCATGCCTGCCTTTCTAAGGAGACAGAAGAACGGTTGGCCCGATGCTTTTGTTGAGATTTAAACCAGACAAGCGGGGCTATTTCTCATGCCCAGCCAGTTCAGCTTTCACTCACCCCCCTGGAAGTCAAGAGTAACTGAACAGAGGCCAAGTTCCTCTGGATTTACAACAATGCATCTGGGAACAGAATTCTGCCCAAAATACCGAGGACGAGGCTGACATCAGCTCAGCGCCTGGTGGCTCGCGCCAGGCTCGTTTTCCGTCAACGCTTTTCTTGGCTGAAATGCAATAAACAGGACCAGCGACCTCACCTAACCTCCGCATGGCTGCCCCCTCTCCGCGCAGCCCAATGGAGGCTGCCATCGATGGGGATGACGAGGAAGTTGTAATGGGCGATGGGACGAGGGGACATGGCCTCAAGTTGTGCCAGGGCAGGGTAAGGTTGGCCATGGGGAACAATTCCTTCCCTAAGGGGCTGTCAGGCACTGGAAGGGGCTGCCCAGGGAAGGGGTCGAGTCCCCAGCCCTGGGGGGATTTAACAGCCGGGCAGGGGCGGTGCTGAGGGCCAGGGTTTGGGGGTGGGATGGCAGGGGTAGGGGAACGCTTGGGCTGGGGGAGCTTCAAGGGCTTTTCCAACCACAACGATTCCATGATCCTATGATTCTAAGTTGCTCCTGGCTTCAGCGCGATTACAGGGATGTCGGCTGGTAGGAGGGAAAGGAGGACTGGGGACTGTTATTTGTGCTGAAGAGGGGGAAAGCAGAAGGAGGGAATTCTCCTTTGGTCTCCCCCAGCCACTTCCCAACGCAATGGCGAGCTGCTGGTCCTTTATTGCCTGAAAACCAACTCATTTGCATTTAAACTTAGGCGAGGTTTAGGTTGGTTTCCTAGACTGGTACTGTCTCTTCTCATAAATCATCGAATCACAGCAGGGTTTGGTTGGAAAAGCCCTTTAAGCTCCCCCAGCCCAACCGCTCCCCTACCCCTGCCATCCCACCCCCAAACCCTGGCCCTCAGCACCGCCT